TTTTTTTGATGTTTCCTCATGACTAGATTCAGATTATGTATTTTGGGCAGAAACACACTGGCGGGACACTATGGCCCCCTCAGATCTCCATATCAGAGACACGTGAGGTTGGCCTGTTCCAATGCTGGTGATGTTAACTTTGGTCACTGGTCAAGCTGGTGGCCTCCAGGTTTTATCACTATAAAGTTACTCTTTTCCCTGTTTGGAATTAGTAAGTAATTTATGGGGACATACCTTGAGACATTGTAAATATCCCATTTGTCATCAAACTTTCACCCACTAGTTTTAGTATCCATTGATGGTTTTCTAGCTTCATCATTCCTTGTTTATTTACTAGTTGACATTTTACCGTAAGAAAGAGCCTTTGCTTTGCCCGCTCGCGTGGATATGTGTGTGCACGCGTGTTTGCGTGGGTGGACGGGTGTCAGTGTGCACCCGTGGGCTGCTATTTTATCTGTAGGTTATATCCCGTTACTAGGACCATCTATTTTATTGCTCAGCCTCTCATGGACTTGGTTGGTGGGTGTGGTGTGGTTTTTCAGTCTACCATTTTCTCACCTATTTATTCATTTATTTATAAGCAAAAGTTTATCTACCCATAAACTTATTTCAACTTGTGACCGTGACCTAGAATCAGAATTTTAAAGCTGGAGATGACTTTACATGTCGCTTGCTTTGCCGTCGCCTCTTTATTTTACACATGAGAACTCTGACCCCCAGGAACTTCAGGCACCTCTTCAGGGTCACATGGCTTGTTGGCATCAGAGCTCGAGCTGGCTCCGAGGCACCTGGCTCCAGACATTTCCAGCTCCGTGTCATCAGGAGCCTTCTGCTGTCCCTGCTCTTCAGGTAGTGTTCCTCACCCACCCCTGCAGGGCATCAGGGACTGATGGCTCCCGTGCTTGCAGACAGGAGTTCTCAGAGAATTCTTGGACGTCTCTCCTGAACCCTTAACCTTGGCAATGGGTGGGGAGAGTCCTTAGAGTCTTCAGCACTTCTATCATTGTGTTGAGCAATTTCTAAGGGCTTACGGTTGCCAAAAAATGACAGTTACAAGCTGGCCACTTAGCTCAGTTAGTTGGAGCGCAGCCTTGTGACACCACGATCA